AAATGTCATCTACGAAGGATTGGAAGACTGATGGAGCATTCATCAACCCATATGGCATGACAAGATACTCGAAATGACCTGACGTGGTACTAAACGCTGTCTTCCATTCGTCGCCCTCCCTAATGCGCACCAAGTTATACGCGCTCCTGAGATCCAGTTTTGTGAAAAACCGCGCTCCATGCAATGACTCCGTCATGGTCGCAATCAGAGGGAGTGGATAACTGTATTTCACAGTAATCTGATTGAGACCACGGTAATCAATGCACGGGCGCAACCCTCCATCTTTCTTTTTCACAAAAAAGAAGCTTGAGGAGGCGGGAGAAGTGGAGGGCCGAATGTATCCCTGTCTCAAAGATTCGGCTATGTAAGTCTCCATAGCTTTTCTCTCCTCTTGAGACAAAGGATACACATGGCTCCGTGGGAGCGCTGCTCCTGCCTGGAGATCAATCGCACAATCCCCCTGTCTATGAGGAGGCAACTGCGTCGCCCTAGTCTTGCTAAACACGAGAGCTAAATCCCCATATTCAGGCGGAATGTGCAGTGCGGGCACTTGGTTTGGACTTTCCACCGAAGTCGCCCCCACGGAAACACCCAGACATCGCCCCTCGCACTGAGCAGACCACCCATCGAGAGCCCTCTGTTGCCACGAAATAGCAGGGTTATGGGTGCTTAACCAGGGAATTCCCAGCACCACTGGGTACGCAGGAGAGTCGATCAGATACAGCTGTATAGTCTCTTCATGACCCCCCTGCGCACACATCCTAAGTGGCGCTGTGATCTCCCTAATCAACCCCGACCCCAACGGGCGGCTATCTAAGGCATGAACGGGAAAAGGTTTGTCAACAGGTAGGAGAGGGATCCCTAAATCTACACAAAACTTCCGATCAACAAAATTCCCAGCTGCGCCTGAATCTACTAGCGCCTTATGCTGGGAATGAGGTGCAACCTGTGGAAAACAAACAGGTATACAAAAGTGCGCAACAGAAAGTTCTGGGTAAGTGGGACGTCTACTCACCTGGGAGGCCCCCCCAGTGCGTGGCCTGTTGTCTTCTCCCCCGGAGAACCCTCCCCAGCACCTGGCCGCAGTGTGCCCTCCACGACCGCACTTGGTGCAGGAGACAGGCCCCCTCGGGCTCCTCCTCCTCCTTTCTCTAGCGCCGGCACCCCCGAGCTCCATAGGGCTCGGCTCGGAGGTGCCGGAGGGCGGAATGGACGGACCCCCCTCGGGACGTCCACGGGTGGCCAGCAGGGTGTCCAGACGGATGGACATATCGACCAACTGGTCGAAGGTAAGATGGGTATCCCTGCAGGCCAACTCACGTTGAATGTCCTCCCGTAGGCTACATCGAAAATGGTCGATGAGGGCCCATTCATTCCACCCTGCGTCCGCCGCTAGAGTCCGGAACTCTAGAGCAAACGCCTGTGCGCTCCTCCTCCCCTGTCTCAAGTGGACTAGACGCTCCCCCGCCGCTTTGCCCTCAGGTGGATGGTCGAACACGGCCTCGAAGCGACGGGAGAACTCGGCGTAGGAGATGGTGTTGGCGTCCATCTTCCTCCACTCGGCGTTAGCCCACTCCAACGCCTTGCCCGTGAGACAGGAGATGAGGGCGGAAACGCTCTCTTGTCCCGAGGGCACCGGGTGTACAGTGGCCAGGTAGAGCTCCACCTGCAGGAGGAACCCCTGACACCCGGCAGCTGTTCAGTCATACGCCCTCGGGAGCGAGAGCCGAATCCCCCTGGGTTCCGAACCTGGGACTGGTGGACCGGCCGATGGGGTTGGCAGGGTAGGTGGAGGCGTGGGTACCCCGCTGGCCTCCCATCGGTGCAAGGTGTTGATGACGTCCTGTAGAGCGGTCCCCAGTTGTCGTATCTGGTCATCTTGGCCGCGGACATGCTCCTCGAGCGACTCAGGTGTAACTGCAGATCCTGCTGATTCCATTCTGGTGTGTGATTCTGTCAAGGGGTGCTGAAGGTGGGTGTGGTGCATGAATCAAGCGCAGGACGCAGAAGCTCAGTCCAAAATACTTTAGTGCAATAATCACGTAGAAAATAAGCACAATAAGCCCGAAGGCGAAATCACGGCGCACACAGGCGTCAAACAAACGGCGCACTAACATGTGCGAAAACCCTCTCCAAAACGCTGGAGGGAAGTACGTAGCTCCAACACGAAAACAGAAGAGCAATCACACACAAAGACAAACACAACCAACGAGAACTAAATAGGACACTAACGAGGACTAACAAGACACAGGTGTACAACATAAAGACAAAACCAAACGAACATGAAACATCGATCGGTGGCAGCTAGTACTCCGGGGACGACGACCGCCGAAGCCTGCCCGAACCAGGAGGAGCAGCCTCGGCCGAAACCGTGACACTGACTAGGCCCTACATGGCAGTGGCGGTCAGTGCCGTTTCAGATGAGGGACGACGATTATTTTTCCATGAGCATGGTCTTATTTCTATTACAGCATATTGGATGACTGTCATTCATATTCCATTCACCCAGTTAAATGTAACAGCGATAGGATTAGGCTACTACATGATACTCATATTTTACCTATACCCATCATGAGGTTGCTACAACCTAGCCTAAGAAAGAAAGCTTACAACGTAGTTGCACACAGATCGAGACAGACAGTGACACATGGACAGACAGTGATATTCAACACCACCTTGTACACTCTTGCCTGCATCTAGCTGATATTGGGTGTAATCATTAGTCCAACAGTTGCAAACAATAGTTTCTATTGGACAAATGCAGGTATGTTTATCCCTGTTTTGTTTTGTTTGCTTCTGTTTAAGAAAGGTTTTTCAACTGAATCGGCGGAATGAATACACCCCTGATCACGCGTAAACACAGTTCACAGTGTCATAGCAGCCACGTTGTATTCCTTCTTGCATTAGTAAAACCTAACGCTTACCTTGACTTGGAAGAGTTCCAGTGTTGTGTTGGATAGTCAAAGCCAGCTAGCTAACATAGTATCCCTCTGTTTGAGCAGGGTGTTTCAGTAGGCTAAACTAGCTAGCTGCATTTGCTAGCTAAGTAAGTGAAACTGAAAGTGAAAAATATTTACAATCTTTCTCTCTCTCTATTTCTCTCTTGCTTCTCCTTCATTTAGGAATAAATTAATTTGTTCAAAACTGTTGAACTATTTTCTTTCTCTCTCTTTGAGTCAGCTACTCACTTATGCACTGCAGTGCTAGCTAGCTGTAGCTTATGCTTTCAGTACTAGATTAATTCTCTGATCCTTTGATTGGGTGGACAACATGTCAGTTCATGCTGCAAGAGCTCTGATAGGTTGGAGGACGTCCTCCGGCTACACCATGGTGCTACCCTACAGAGTGCTGTTGAGGCTACTGTAGACCTTCTTTGCAAAATAGTGTGTTTTAATCAATTATTTGGTGACGTGATTATATTTAGTATAGTTTTATCTAAAAAGGAAACCTTTGACAGTTTCCTCCTCTGAGGAGCCTCCCCTGCTCCATGGAATGAGTTTGACACCCCTGATCGATACTATTTGACTACAAGTAGTAGCCTTCGGTAACAAAGGCAAGCCTGCAGCCCTGCCCCAGGTGGAGTTGGTAGTAATTTGAATATCCAAGTGAGCTGTCAAATCAGCATTTTTTGACAGGTATATGCCCCAAACCATTCTGTTCTTTCCTAACAGGGCAAGCAGGGACACAGAGAAAATCTGCTTATTAACATTCTTAATTATACTTTTTTGGAAGGACATCTATTACATTCATATTGTAATACATTTTATGTAATATTTCATAGAAATCTGGAACACTGGACAGATACGTTAATAAACAACTATTTTCCTTTTTATTTTCTACAGTTTTCCACTATCAAAATGACAGTTATTTATATAGAAACAGCAAAATTGTATGTTCTGAGTCTATGTCAACGCTTAAGTCACATCAGAAGACCATTATTAGATCTGGAAAAAAACGAACACATTTTGATTTCTGAGTGTAATTTCCCTTTAATTCAAGTGCACACCTAGCAAGAGAGGAATGTGTTTGGCTAGCGATGTTTCTGTTATGCTACTGCACATGTGATGGCAGAGTTTCCTAAACAAATGCCCACCCAATTGATACAAATAATAATGCTGTCATTCTGTCAGTGAGGCCAACTTTGTAGTTATCTTTTAAGGTTTTGGGGAAAGCCTTTCTGTCTACCCAAAAGACGGTTATCATTAGCATCTCTAACTGGCTACACGAATACGTGGGCACCACACAGACAGGCAGTGGCAATATTGCTGGAAATTAATTGGCAGATGTTGTATTGAATTGACAAAATTGACAAAAAAGTGTAAGTAGGAGAACTTTGGTCCTAAAGTCAGTAGGCTACCTTCCAAAACGGAGATTTGTGAGATTTAACGAATCGAGAATGTCACAGTTTTCCTTGGGTTGGGTTTAGATTTAAATCCTGCCCACAGAGTATCGCGGCCAGGCACTGCTGGCCACAACCAAATCACAGCCACACTTGTGTTGTAGACAGTGCACACTTTCCAATCGTAGCAGCAGAATCAACCTACAGCCCGCCCATTTCTTTACAAACAGTAGAACTACCAATCGTCGCCAATGTTATGTTGAAAGAACTAGACTTGTTATTTATAAACGGCTTGTGTTTTTTTCCAATTCAAACATCCACACATTTGTGAGCTAAAGTTAGCTTCACAAACACAACTGTCATTCCTTTAGCCAAAGTCATAAATAGTACGGTGGCTCAGGATGTTTGGGATAACTCAACTCTGTTGAGTATAGAGGGTCAAACAACAATAACTGCCAGGGTACGAACATAACAAACATACATAGAAAACAAACATAGCAAACAAACATAACACACCCACATCGAACCACAACCCCAAACTCAAGGCGAGGGACGCAAAAGCCACTGCAATCTAAGAATGACCCATATTTTAACCCTTCAAGAACTCCCTAATCTTTTACTTTTCCTATTGCGTCTCCTAGGCTTGAGCCTCCTTAAAAACATGGACCCCCCAAGGGTCATCAAGACCCATCTACCTTTCCAGTTGGTGCCCGAAGGGTTCTGGAAAAACAAATGCAAGGTAAGATGGAGTACGACCCCTAATTCCCTTTTCATACTACTAAGCTGAGCTGTACTGTGCTGGGCTAGTTATGCATCCACCGTGCTGGAAAGGACGATGTGGAGGGAAAATATCAGAGCTAGCACAGTACAGTTCTGGTCAGCATTTTAGTGTGAAATGGTACTAGATTCAGATTTTTTTTTCATGAGTTTGGAAATGGTTTAGAATTAAGTATATATTTTCAGTTAACTTTATCTGAAAAATGATCAATAGAACAGTAAATTACAAACAAAATGCTACACCTTCCCCCCACCATCTTCTTCCAGGCTATCTATGTAGCGAGGAATGCTAAGGACAACCTGGTCAGCTACTACCACTTTGACCGCATGAATCTAACCCAGCCTGAGCCTGGACCGTGGGACGGATACATCCACAAGTTCATGAATGGAGAACGTAAGTAATATAATGTAACTAGCATTTTAATAAATAACTAGCATTTTCATAATGACTAATACCAATGTGGTCCTGAGTAGCTCAGTTGGTAGAGCATGGCGCTTTCAATGCCAGGATCGCTTTGGATAAATGTGTCTGCTAAATGGCATATGATGATTACTATGTTGTTATTCTTGGATGATGGCCAGGTCGCTATGTGCTCAATAGCTTGATGAATTGATTTAGATATACTACTGCAGGGTACTTTGATGCAGATATGTTCAAGTTTATTGTCACATGCACAAGTACAGTGCAATGCTTGATTTGCAAGCTCTAACCAACAGTGCAGTAATTAATATCTAAAATAGTATAACTAATAAAAAAGGAAAAATAAATATAATAAAGAAAACATAAGAATTAAGAGAGGAAGCTATTGTATATACAGGATCAGTGCCAATACCAAATGTATAATGTGCAGAGATACTGGAGTAATTTGAGGTAGATACACTACAAAAGTATCTGAACACCCCTTCAAATTAGTGGATTCAGCTATTTCGGTCACACACGTTGCTGACAGGTGTATAAAATGAGCACACAGCCATGCAATCTCCATAGACAAACATTGGTAGTAGAATTGCCCGTACTGAAGAGCATTCAATGTCGCACCGTCATAGGATGCTACCTTTCCAACAATTGAGTTGGGCAAATGTCTGCCCTGTTAGAGCTGCCCTGCTCAACTGTAAGTGCTGTTTTTGTGAAGTGGAAATGTCTAGGAGCAACAATGTCTCAGCCGCGAAGTGGTAGGCCACACAAGCTCACAGAACGGGACCGCTTAGTGCTGAAGAGCGTAGCTCGTAAAAATCGTCTGTCCTTGGTTGCAACACTCACTATCGAGTTCCAAACTGCCTCTGGAAGCAACGTCAGCACAAAAACTGTTCGTCGGGAGCTTCATGAAATGGGTTTCCATGGCTGAGCTGCTGCACACAAGCCTAAGATCACCAAGCGCAATGCCAAGCATCAGCTGGAGTGGTGTAAAGCTTGCCGCCATTGGACTCTGGAGCAGTGGAAATGCGTTCTCTTGAGGGATGAATCAAGCTTCACCATCTGGCAGTCCGACGGACAAATCTGGGTTTGGCGGATGCCAGGAGAATGATACCTGACCCAATGCATCATGCCAACTGTGAAGTTTGATGGAGGAGGAATAATTGTCTGGGGCTGTTTTTCATGGTTCGGGCTAGGCCCCTTAGTTCCAGTGAAGGGAAATCTTAACGCTAAAGCATACAATGACATTCTAGACAATTCTGTGCTTCCAACATTGTGGCAACAGTTTGGGGATGGCCCTTTCCATGTTTCAGCATGACAATGCCCCCGTGCACAAAGTGAGGTCCATACAGAAATGGTTTGTCGAGATTGGTGTGGAAGAACTTGACTGACCTGCACAGAGCCCTGACCTCAACCCCATCGAACGCCTTTCGGATGAATTGGAACACTGACTGCGAGCCAGGGCTAATCGCCCAACATCAGTGCCCGACCCCACTAATGCTCTTGTGGCTGAATGGAAGCAAGTCCCCACAGCAATTTTCCAACATCTAGTGGAAAGCCTTCCTAGAAGAGTGGAGGCTGTTATAGCAGCAAAGGGGTGACCAACTCCATATTAATGCCCATGATTTTGGAATGAGATGTTCGACGAGCCATGTAGTGTATGTACATGTAGGCGGGGGATTAGGAGAAAGTGACTGGTAGCGGGATTAATCATAGTAAACAGCATGGCAGCAGCACACAATACCCCATAATGTCAAAGCAAAGACAGGTTTTTCGATTTGTTTTGCCTCGATCCTGACTAGTCTCCTAGTGCCTGCCACTGAAAAACATCCCCTCAGCATGATGCTGCCACCACCATGCTTCACTATAGGGATGGTACCAGGTCTCCTCAAGACGTGACGCTTGGCATTTAGGCCAAAGAGTTCAATCTTGGTTTCATCAGACCAGAGAATCTTGTTTCTCATGGACTGATATTCTTTAGGTGCCTTTTGGCAAACTCCAAGCGGGCTGTCGTGCCTTTTACTGAGGAGTGGCTTCCGTCTGGACACTACCATAAAGGCCTGATTGGTGGAGTGCTGCAGAGATGGTTGTCCTTCTGGAAGGTTTTCCCATCTCCACAGAGGAACTCTAGAGCTCTGTCAGAGTGACCATCGGGTTCTTGGTCACCTCCCTTACCAAGGCCCTTCTCCCCCGATTGCTCAGTTTGGCCGGGCGGCCAGCTCTAGGAAGAGTCTTGGTGGTTCCAAACTTCTTCCATTTAAGAGGCCACTGTGTTCTTGGGGACCTTCAATGCTGCAGAATTTTTTTGGTACCCTTCCCCAGATCTGTGCCTCAACACAATCCTGTCACGGAGCTCTACCGACAATTCCTTTGACTTCATTGCTTGGTTTTTGCTTTGACATGCACTGTCAACTGTGGGACCTTATATAGACAGGTGTGTGCCTTTCCAAATCATGTCCAATCAATTGAATTTACCACAGGTGGACGCCAATCAAGTTGTAAAAATATCTCAACGATGATCAATGGAAACAGGATGCACCTGAGCTCAATTTGGAGTCTCATAGCAAAGGGTCTGAATACTTAAGTAATTAATGTATTTCTGTTTTTTATTTGTAATACATTTGCAAAAATGTATAAAAACCTATTTTCACTTTGTCATTATGGGGTATTGTGTGTATTGCTGAGGATAATAAGGCTGTAACGTAACACAAATATGGAAATAGTCAAGGGGTCTGAATACTTTCCGAAGGCACTGTGAGTGTGTGTGTGTGTGTGTGTGTGTGTGTGTGTGTGTGTGTGTGCAAGAGTGTCAGTGTAGGCATGATAGGTGGACATACATGTAAACAGAGCTGAAAGGTGACTGATAGCAGGAATATATAAATACTTATGGTAATATACTAGTGGTAATATATACACTGAGTGTACTAAACATTAGGAATGCCTTCTGCCCCCCCTTTGCCCTCAGCTTCAATTTGTCAGGGCATGGACTTTACAAGGTGTCAAAAGCGTTTCACAGGGATGCTGGCCCATGTTGATTCCAATGCTTCCCACAGTTGTGTCAAGTTGGCTGGATGTCCTTTGGATCGTGGACCATTTTTGATACACACAGGAAACTGTTGAGCTTGAAAAACCCAACCGCGTTGCATACTACCATATGCCATTCAAAGGCACTTAAATATTTTGTCTTACCCATTCACCCCTATGAATGGCACACATACACAATCCATGTCTCAATTGTCTCAAGGCTGTGTATGGTCTTGCTGACGTTGAGGGAGAGGCTGTTGTCCTGGCACCACACTGCCAGGTTTCTGACCTCATCCCTGTAGGCTTTCAAATCGCCATTGGTGATCAGGCTGACCACTGTCGTCTCGTCAGCAAACTTGATGATGGAGTTGGAGTCATGTGTGGCCACACAGTCGTGGGTGAACAGGGAGTACAGGAGGGGGCTAAGCACACACCCCTGGGGTGCCCCCATGTTCAGCGTGGCAGAGGTGTTGTTGCTTCCTCTTACCATCTGGGGTCGGTCCGTCAGGAAGTCCACTATGGTGTTGTATGATGTGCTGCATCCTCACATAGATATTCCTCTTTTCTAAGTAGGAGAGGGCAGAGTGGAGTACAATTGAGATTGGATCGTCAGTGGATCTGTTGGGGCGGTATGCAAATTGGAGTGGGTCCAGGGTGTCTGGGATGGTGGAGTTGATGTGTACCTTGACCAGCCTTTCAAAGCACTTGATTATTACAGATGTGAGTGCTTGCTACAGGGCAGTAGTCATTGTGGCAGGATGCCTAAGCATTTTTGGGAACAGGAATGATGGTAGACGGCTTGAAACATGGGGATTACAGACTGGGACAAGGAGAGTTTTAAAATGTCAGTGAAGACGCATGCCAGCTGGTCTGTGCATGCCCTGAGGACACGCCATGGAATACCATCTGGGCCAGCGGCCTTACGAGTGATGACCTTTTTAAAAACCTTACTCAAATCAGCCTCGTAGAGAGAGATCACCCAGTCCTCCGGATTAGCGGGGGCCCTCATGCAGGGCTCTGTGTTGTTTTTGTTGAAGCGTGCATAAAATGCATTGTGTCTGGTAGAGAGGCATCGTTGGGCAGATCACGGCTTCCTTTGTAGTCCCTAATGTACTGGAGCCACTGCCACATGCTTCTGGTGTCAGAGCCGGTATAATAGGATTCCGCCTTGTTCCGACATTGTCCTTTTCCCGGTTTGATGGCTCTGCGGAGGTCGAAGCGCGTTGTTGTACTCAGCCGTAGTCCAATGCACAAGTGAAGTGGTTGAAATACCATTTAATATCTGGATGAAATGGCATAAGGATAAAGGCTGTAGGTTGTGATATGGCTTCTTAGGGCATTATTCCGACTTGAACTTGGATAATATGCTAGGCTATAAGGCAGTAGTTCCCAAGGGGGAAATGTTTTAGGTGTGAAATTGGGGTCCCTGCTGAAAAAGCTTGGGAACCATTACACCAATTTGATGCCCAGCCATAATGGGCTTATAAGACACTACAGTGAGGGAAAAAGGTATTTGATCCCCTGCTGATTTTGTACGTTTGCCCACTGACAAAGAAATTATCAGTCTATAATTTTAATGGTAGGTTTATTTGAACAGTGAGAGACAGAATAACAAAAAAAAAATTGATTTGCATTTTAATGAGGGAAATAAGTATCAGAAAGATCAGAAAGATTTCTGGCTCCCAGGTGTCTTTTATACAGGTAACGAGCTGAGATTAGGAGCACACTTTTAAAGGGAGTGCTCCTAATCTCAGCTTGTTACCTGTATAAAAGATACCTGTCCACAGAAGCAATCAATCAGATTCCAAACTCTCCACCATGGCCAAGACCAAAGAGCTCTCCAAGGATGTCAGGGACAAGATTGTAGACCTACACAAGGCTGGAATGGGCTACAAGACCATCGCCAAGCAGCTTGGTGAGAAGGTGACAACAGTTGGTGCGATTATTCGCAAATGGAAGAAACACAAAATAACTGCCAATCTCCCTCGGCCTGGGGCTCCGTGCAAGATCTCACCGCCCGCAAGGTCCCCCTGCTCAAGAAAGCACATATACAGGCCCGTTGTCACGATCGTTGATGAACGGGACGGACCAAGGCGCAGCGGGATATGCGTACATGTTTATTAAATATTAAACACAACGACAAAATAACAAACAAAACTAAACGTGAAGTCCAAGGCAGCACAACACAACATACCTTAACACGGAACAAGATCCCACAACCCACTAGTGCCAATAGGCTGCCTAAGTATTCTTCCCAATCAGAGACAACGAGCGAAAGCTACCTCTGATTGGTAACCACACAGGCCAACATAGATCTAGACAATCTAGATCTAAACCTAGAAAATACAACATAGAAAATACACACAGAAAATACACACCCTGACTCAACAAATACCAGTCTCCAGAGTCAGGGCGTGACAGTACCCCCCCCCCCAAAGGTGCGGACTCCGACCTTACAACATAAACATAACAGGGTAGGGGCCGGGTGGGCATTCCGCCTCGGAGACGGATCCGACTCAGGGCGTGACGACCACTTACTCTCCGCATCCCTGTTGCGCCCCTGGTCTGGTCTGGACCTCGGCGCGCTGCTTCCCCTCTCCTTCCTCCCACGAAGTACCAAGCCGTGTCTGGACCCTGGTGTGGGAGACCCCGAACCTGGAGAGGGGCTGACGTCTGGGTCTGGACTGGAGCCGCTGACCGGCGCTGGACCAGGCACCGGTGGAGCGGACTGCACAGGCTCCGGACTGGAGCCGCTGACCGGAGCTGGACTGGACACCGGTGGAGCGGACTGCTCTGGCTCCGGAGTGGAGCCGCTGACCGGATCTGGACTGGACCCCGGTGGAACGGACTGCTCTGGCTCCGGAGTGGAGCAGCTGACCGGAGCTGGATCAGGCACCGGTGGAGCGGACTGCTCTGGCTCCGGAGTGGAGCCGCTGACCGGAGCAGGACTGGACCCCGGTGAAGCGGATTGCTCTGGCTCCGGAGTGGAGCAGCTGACCACTGACAGGAACGGGCCGGACCAGACTGGCGACGCGCACCACTGACTTGGTGCGAGGGGCAGGAACAGGCCGGGCCGGGCTGGCGACGCGCACCACTGGCTTGGTGCGAGGGACAGGAACAGGCCGGACTGGGCTGGCGACGCGCACCACTGGCTTGGTGCGAGGAACAGGAACAGGCCGGACCGGGCTGGCGACGCGCACCACTGGCTTGGTGCGAGGGACAGGAACAGGCCGGACTGGGCTGGCGACGCGCACCACTGGCTTGGTGCGAGGAACAGGAACAGGCCGGACTGGGCTGGCGACGCGCACCACTGACTTGGTGCGAGGGGCAGGAACAGGCCAGGCCGGGCTGGCGACGCGCACCACTGGCTTGGTGCGAGGGACAGGAACAGGCCGGACTGGGCTGGCGACGCGCACCACTGGCTTGGTGCGAGGAACAGGAACAGGCCGGACTGGGCTGGCGACGCGCACCACTGGCTTGGTGCGAGGGGCAGGAACGGGTCGGGCCGTACTGGGAACACGCACCACTGGCTTAGTGCGGAAAGCAGGAACGGGCCGGACCGGACTGGCGACATGCACCACTTCCTTCTGCTGCCTAACCAGCTCCTCTCGCCGTGCCTCTACACTTTCCTTCTCCCTTATAGCCTCCTGTAGCGCCTTCCTCTGACCGAATAACTCCTGCTCCCTCTGAACCAATAGCCCCCGTAACCTGGTGGCCTCCTCTCCTAAGCTGCAGATCCGCCCTTTAACGGCCTCCTGCTGCCTCGTCGCACACACCGTGTGCCCCCCCCCCCCCAACATTTTCTTGGGGTTGCCTCTCTGGTCTCCGTCGTCAGCACTGTTGGTGCCGTTTCTCCTCTCCTACCTGGGCATCCTCCTTCATCGCCTTCCGGTAGTGGACGGCCTCCTCCTCCGTAATTCTCCCCCAACCGAGGAGGACATCTACTAATGTAACCTCTTGTTGAATTCCCGGCGTTTGCTCCTGAACATGCTGCTTGGTCCTCGTTTGGTGGGATCTTCTGTCACGCTCGCTTACAGACGGGACGGACCAAGGTGCAGCGTGATATGCATACATGTTTATTAGACTTGTAAACACAACGACAAAAAAAGAAACGAAACGTGAAGTCCAAGGTACACAAACACAACATACCTTAACACGGAACAAGATCCCACAACCCACTAGTGCCAATAGGCTTTCTAAGTATGGTCCCCAATCAGAGACAACGAGTCAGGGCATGACACCCGTCTGAAGTTTGCCAATGAACATCTGAATGATTCAGAGGAGAACTGGGTGAAAGTGTTGTGGTCAGATTAGACCAAAATGGAGCTCTTTGGCATCAACTCAACTCGCCGTGTTTGGAGGAGGAGGAATGCTGCCTATGACCCCAAGAACACCATCACCACCGTCAAACATGGAGGTGTAAACATTATGCTTTGGGGGTGTTTTCTGCTAAGGGGACAGGACAACTTCACCGCATCAAAGGGACGATGGACAGGGCCATGTACCGTCAAATCTTGGGTGAGAACCTCCTTCCCTCAGCCAGGGCATTGAAAATGGGTCGTGGATGGGTATTCCGGCATGACAATGACCCAAAACACACGGCCAAGGCAACAAAGGAGTGGCTCAAGAAGAAGCACATTAAGGTCCTGGAGTGGCCTAGCCAGTCTCCAGACCTTAATCACATAGAAAATCTGTGGAGGGAGCTGAAGGTTCGAGTTGCCAAATGTCAGCCTCGAAACCTTAATGACTTGGAGAAGATCTGCAAAGAGGAGTGGAACAAAATCCCTCCTGAGATGTGTGCAAACCTGGTGGCCAACTACAAGAAACGTCTGACCTCTGTGATTTCCAACAAGGGTTTTGCCACCAAGTACTAACTCATGTTTTGCAGAGGGGTCAAATACTTATTTCCCTCATTAAAACGCAAATCAATTTATAACATTTATGACATGCGTTTTTCTGGATTTCTTTGTTGTTATTCTGTCTTTCACCGTTCAAATAAACCTACCATTAAAATGATAGACTGATCATGTCTTTGTCAGTGGGCAAACGTACAAAATCAGCAGGGGATCAAATACTTTTTTCCCTCACTGTATTTCTTCAAGTGTGTGTGCACACAAAACACAAAACAAAATTATATTTTACAATTCAATTGCATAATAAATAATCATGGCAAGTACAGCTACCACCTTGTCACATCATACAGTACAGAAAATGCATTTCTCCTTCTCCCCCAGGCTTTGAAATTAAATTGGGCAATATTGAATACGCCCTTTTTTGTATTAATTGTTTACCACATTTTAATTTGTTTTGTTCTTTTTTGTTGGGGGTTACAGGTTCATTATCCATTTCAAATTATAAGTTTATAAAATATGTACCTGTAGGCTGCCACTCAAAAGAAAAAAAATAGTAAGAAATAGATACAGAGTTTAAATTATCATAAATTCAGTATAAAAATAAAAATAAAATAAAAAATAAGTGGGCCTCCAACCCCAACCTCCCATCCCCTTCCCCCAACCCCACCCAGCCAACATGTCTTCATTCTACCCCCCCATAGGGTTGCTCATCAGTTACCCACCAAAACTGTAACTAGGCCACTCAGGAACATTCCATGTTGTCTTGTTAAGCAACTCCAGTGTACAGTATATTTGGGCTTATGTTTAGGTTATTGTCCTGCTGAAAGGTGAATTAGTCTCCCAGCAGACTGAACATAGTTTTCCTCTAGGATTTTGCCTGAGCTTAGCTCAATTCCGTTTATTTTTATGTGTGGGGTACAGAGATGAGAAAGTCATTGGATTTTCCCCAAACATAACGCTTTGTATATAGGACATAAAGTTAAATTATTTGACACATGTTTTGCAGTTTTACTTTAGTGCCTTATTGCAAACAGGATGCATGTTTTGGAATATTGTATTCTGTACAGGCTTCCTTCTTTTCACTCTGTCATTTAAGTTAGAATTGTGGAGTAACTACAATGTTGTTGACCCATCCTTAGTTTTCTCCTATCACAGCCATTCAACTCTGTAACTGTTTAAAATGTCACCATTGGCCTCATGATGAAATCCCTGAGCAGTTTCCTTCCTCTCCGGCAACTGAGTTAGGAAGGACACCTGTATCTTTGTAGTGAATGGGTGTATTGATACACCATCAAAAGTGTAATTAATAACTTCACCATGGTCAAAGGGATATTCCATGTCTGCTTTATTTATTTTTCGCCATCGACAAATTGGTGCCCTTCTTTGCGAGGCATTGAAAAACCTCCCTGGTCTTTGTGGTTGAATCTGTGTTTGAAATTAATTGCTCGACTGTGGGACCTTACAGATAATTCAATGTGTGGGGTACAGAGATTAGGTAGTCATTAAATTATCATGTTAAACACTATTATTGCACACAGAGTTAGTCCATGCAACTGATTATTATTTAATTATTTGTTAAGCAAATGTGTACTCCTGAACTTATTTATGCTTGCCCTAACAAAGGGGTTGAATACTTATTGACACAAGACATTTCAGATTAAAAAAAAAAAACTAATTTGTAAAGATTTCTAAAAACATAATTCGACTTTAACATTAGGGGGTATTGTGTGAAGGCCAGTGACACATTTCAATTTAATCAATTTTAAATTCAGGCTGCAACACAACAAAATGTGATCTGTGGACCATACTTTCTTAATGGCTAGCTCAGAATATGAGCTTTACAAAAGTTGTTTATATATTATAGAAATTAGTCCTTTCGGGAGCCCATATAATTTATTTATAAATCCCATCATTGTATGGTTCAGTAGTTGGGTTTCTCAAGGGACTCCATAGGCCAGCATAGCTGACCTAAGTTGTAAATATATTTTGAAAAAGGATTTGCCTGGTAATGTGTATGTCTTTCAAATTTTAGAATGTTCTCAAAACCTTACTGTCCATGATATCGGCAAGGGTACAGGTGGCACATTTGGACCATTGGGTGGGATGCAAAAGGCCGCCCTCCAGATTGCGAGCCGTTATTGTGAAATATTGGAGTATGGGCATGCCATTTGGATTGCCAGTTACATGGTTGTATCTAAGGAAGGAAATATATCTATTCCAAAATATTTAAAATGCGAAGCAATTGGGATTCTATAAGTAGAGGTGGAGTCCTCCATCAGGGTCTTGAGAGGCAATAGGGCAGATATGGGTAGATTCACTTTATAAATTGAGGAACTGAATTTGTCTATGATCTTCAAAACTTTTGGGAGGGATTAAGATACATTGTCTACATAAAGTAAGATATCATCATCATATATTGAGATGACGTGATCCGTAGAATTTAGAGATATTGGTGTAATTTCTGTAGGTTGTTGAATTGCCTGGGCCAGGGGCTCTATAGACAATAAAAATTGCAGAGGTGAGATCACCTTGCCTCATACTTCTAGTTATTCTGAATGGAACAGAGCAGGTATTGCCTGTTATTACTATGGGTGAGGGATTGGCATATAGTATTTTAATCATATTAATGAAATTGGAGCCAAGTCCCATATGTTCCAAAACCGACCAAAGATATGAGCATTCTAGTCTATCAAAAGCTTTTTCTGCGTCAAGAGATAGAACTGCCCAATGAGCTTTGGTTTCTGATGAAGCATGTAAGATATGTAATAGACGATGGAGGTTATCTGAGGATAATAGTTTTTTAACAAACCCGCTTTGGTCCAGATGTAAGGATTTGGGTAAGTAAGTTTCGAGACGGGACGACCACATTTTAGAAAACAGTTTAATATCTGTGTTTATCAATGTTAGAGGGCGATAGTGAGAGCACTGGGTGGCTTCCTTACCTTCATTTAATAAAGGTTAAATTAGTGCTGTATTTACATCCCTTCCAAAATAACCTTTGTGAATGGATGTGTTAATAATTTCAAGTAACAGTGGATCTAATTGGTTCCCAATATTAATGTTATCCAATGCCCTTTTGAGTTCATGGAGAGAAATTTGGGGTTCCAGCAAGCCGGCTCCCTCAATTGGGAGAAAAGGAGTTCTTAGATCTTTTAAAAAGGCCTCGATCTGTTATGGTGTGGATTTTACAATCAGAGGTGTACAATTCTTTATAGAAACTGGAGCATCTTTGGTTGATTAATTTGGGTTCTGATAGTAATTCACCTCATTCAGATTCAATAGTTGCAATATCCACTAATTGATTGTTACTGTGAAGCTTGTTAGCCAGTAGACGACTAGGTCGATTACCATGGAAGTAATTGTCTAACTCGATGGATGGCAAATTTTGCTCTCTGTCTTATCAATAGATTTAGTTCTGTCTTGACTTTGAAGAGAGTAGTCCCTACCTGGTCTGAAAAAAGTGCTTGTTGAGAACACTCTAACGTTGTTAATAACTTTTCCAATTCTGATATCTTCTTTAATTTTGGTTTATTCAGCCCAGATGCAAATGAAGTTGCATTGTTTTTAATAAAACCTTTAATGGCGTCCCATAAAATCGGAGGATCATCGACTGAATTTTTATCAATCATTGTGAATTATTTAAATTCAGTTTCAAATTGTTCACAGAAAGTAGGATTTTGTAGTAAGGAAATATTAAAGTGCCATCTTGTGGCTCTTTTAGGAGATTCTGAAATGTGTATCAAGCAGTAATAAGCATGATGATTAGATAGGCTCATACTGTATGTCGAACTTACATTTTCTTGATTAAAGAAAGTAGAGGAGTAGATAATAGCACGAAATCGATTCGGGATAATATTTTGTGCCTGTTTGAATAGAAAGTGTACCCTAAAGTATTTTGCTTTGGGTTATGAGCTCGCCAGGCATCAATGAAGTTGTAATCAGAGAGTATTTGTTGGAGAGCCTTGGTTGCCTGTGGATTGTAGTTGGTCTTATTAGATTCGTCCCGCATGTGCAGAATGACATTCATGCCTGTCCCAATAACCAGTTGGAATTCAGTTAATTCTAACAATATGGTGTTCAGAGAATTAAAAAAACTGAGGATCATATGAATTTGGAGCATACACATTAATAAAGGCAATTTTCTTTCCATTATGGATACATTTAAGGAAAGTGATTCTGCCTTCTTGGTCTTTGCCTTTACCAAGGATGGTGATTTTGAGTTTCTTATGTATTGTTATGATTACACCCTTAGTTTTGTTTGGGGCTGATGAAAAAGCAGCCAGTTTGTACAAATGGTTCTCTATTCTATGTGTGTCCTTTTGGAGGAGGTGTGTTTCTTGGAGCATTGCTATATCAATATGGTTTCTTGCTAGAATATCAAGACAGCTGGAATGTTTGATAGGAATATTAAGACCTTTCAAATTCCACGAGAGAATAGCTAGTGTTGCCTTTGGTTTTCTAAAATCTCATTATTATCTTTCATGTTGATAAGCCCATGGATGGAACAATTCGCCACTTGACTTTAAAGCTTTGGTCCATACAATCATACACCGATATCCGTTCCAGAGAGGACCTATGCGGTACGCAATGTTAATCAGCGGCATGGGACCCAGCTTCTCCTGCCCAAACAGTTCATAGAAAATAATACGCCCTTTCTGAAAAATAATTCTAGCCTGTGTTTGTCATGAGCCAGAATACTTTTATGATAGTGCTAATGTAAATGCTGTTAGAATGAGAGTTGGTTGGTTTTGAGTGACTGTGGTTAAACTGTGTATTGTACTCTCCCTCAGTGGCATGGGGGTCCTGGTACGACCATGTGAAGGGTTACTGGGAGGAACGAGAGAAGAGGAATATACTCTACCTTTTCTATGAAGACATGAAAGAGGTAGGGGAGAGCTGCACCAAATGTCCACACACACATGGATGCACGTACACACATGGATGCACGTGCACACTTACAGATGCACACAACACAAAAACTTGCACATATACAGCACTGTCATTTATAAATGTATAGGTTTTAAAGGATTCTCAACAGCTTCTACCCCCAAGCCATAAGACTCCTGAACAGCTAATCATGGCTACCCAGATTATTTGCACTGACCCCCCACCCCCACCCCATCTTTTTACGCTGCTGGTACTCTGTTAATTATTTATGCTAACTCACATAACTCTACCCACATGTACATATTACCTCAACTACCTCAACTAGCCAGTGCCCCCCGCACATTGACTCTGCACCGCTACCCTCCTGTATATAGCCTCCCTACTGTTATTTTATTTTACTTCTGCTCTTTATTTCTCAACACTTTTTTGTTGTGGTTGTTTTATTTTACTTCTTTATTAAAAAATAAATGCATTGTTGGTTAAGGGCTATAAGTAAGCATTTCACGGTAATGTGTACACCTGTTGTATTCGGGGCATGTGGCAAATTTGATTTGATTTGATTTATGTGGGAAGCCAGGGTCAGAACTCCCTTATCTGTAGACACATCTCTGCCACACCTCCATTTCTATGATCTCCACCAGAAACGCAGACCTGGCTGGCACATGCGTTTCTCCATGCTTAAATTCAAGGTCAGAATGCGCCCGAGAGGAAAGTGAGTGAAAAAGGAATTATGTTCAATTTAAGTGCATGTATATCAACTCTGAATCCCCCCTAAAAGCTTTGCAAACCTGGATTGTGCAATATTTGCAGATTATTCTGTAACGCCATATTTAGATAGTCCCAAGTAGATGGTTTGTAGATGTTTAATAGATGTTCAATAACTGTCGACAACATTTAAACTAACTGTCTTCTAACCCTAACCCCAACCTTAACCCTTATCCTAACCCTAAACTTAACCCTTGCCCTAACCCTATCCCTTACCCTAACCCTTAAGCAGTTGCTTATCAACAGAGTTTGTTGATAGTATGACCATCTGTATATCGTTTATATGGGACTATCCAAATAAAGTGGTCCTCTGTAGCTCAGCTGGTAGAGCACGGCGCCTGTAACGCCAAGGTAGTGGGTTCGATCCCCGGGACCACCCATACACAAAAAATGTATGCACGCATGACTGTAAGTCGCTTTGGATAAAAGCGTCTGCTAAATGGCAAATTATTATTTATTATTAAGTGTGACCGATTATTCTTGGCAAAATTCTTCAAGCTCTGTCTAGTTGTTAGGGATCATTGCTTGGCAGCAATTTTCAAGTCTTGCCATAGATTTTCAAGCAGATTTAAGTCAAAACTACAAATAGGCCACTCAGGAACATTCACTGCCTACTTGATAAGCAGCTCCATTGTAGATTTTGCCTTGTGTTTTGGGTTATTGTCAGCCTGGCTGACACGACCCACGTGGTGCACAGCGAGGGAGAGCTGAGACCCACTGTGGTCTGGACAGGGACTGTTTGTTTATGCAATATTCACCTAGAAATTGAACCAAGTTTGATTGGTTCTCTCAACAACAACAAAAATTCCATGGGTTTTCTAGTTAACGCCTCTTGATGTTTGTATTTGAAAATACAACAGTTGTATTTTAAGGGGGCGGAACTCAGGGGCTGTGTGTGGCTGTCCATGTGGGTGTTTGAGTAAGAAAGACACAGAGGAGAACCAACCAGTAAAAAAGCACAGCCGCCTCATTATTGACACATCATGCCGACAACATCAAGAAGCCTTTCCAGACTCTGAAGTACATGAGGACTTCAAGTTTGGTGTCAGCCAGACTAGGTTATTGTCCTACAGAAAGGTAAATTCCTCTCCCAGTGTCTGGTGTAAAACAGACTGAAGCAGGTTTTTCTCAAATATTTTGCCTGTGCTTAAATCTTGTTTCTTTTTATCCTGAAAAACTCCCCGATCTTTGCCCAGGTAAAGCATACCCACAACTAGCCCAAGATGTACTGTTAAAGGAGTGTAGGCTAATTAAAGGACAGGTAAACTGGCTCTGGCAGCCAGCCAAAACAGCCAAATACTCCATCTAAACGTGAATCGATTCTGAATTGTGATACAGTTCTAGAAACATAAGGTTCTCTACTTTCATAGGGCCTACTGAATTTATTTCAATTGACTAACTCAGTCAAATCTTTGAAATTGTTGCATGTTGCGTTTATATTTTTGTTCAGTGTAAATCCATTTCAATCCCACTTTGTAACACAACAAAATGTGAAAAAGTCCAAGGGAGGTGAATACTTATTATAGGCACTGTATACACACCAGTGGAGGCTGGTAAGGGGAGGATGGCTGGAATGGAATGTGTTTGATACTGTTCCATTTATTCCGTTACAGCCATTACAATGAGCCCATCTTCTGATCAGACAGACAGACAGACACATGCATGCACGCACACATGTACACACACTAAGACAACCCCCCTCATTATTTGTCTTCCTCACAGAATCCTCAGCGAGAAGTGGAGCGCATCATGTGCTACCTGGATCTGTCGCTCTCTGATGATGTCATCAGCCGCATTGTGGAGCTGACTTCCTTTGAGACCATGAAGGAGAACCCGATGACCAACTACTCCTTTATCCCCAAACCAGTCTTTGACCAGTCCATCTCCTCCTTCATGAGAAAAGGTCTGCCTCCCTCTATCTACTATTAATACATATGTGATTTATCTGAGTCTGTGGCAGATTGCACACTGCAGTGGCTCCCCCTAGCTGTCTTTATATATATGATCAACCTGAACTCAGGGGTAGACGTAACATAGTAAACGAAAATCTGGGACACTCAAATTAGTATTATATGTTCAGTTTGGTATGGTATGAATTAATTTGTGGTTGTCCATCATCCATTTCGTATGATATGTTATGAATTGCAATTTGTACAATATGTTTTACAAATTTGCAATACGTATGCTATGTTACAAATTTCAATTTGTTATGGCTAACGTTAGCTAGGTGGCTAACATTAGGTAGGCTAGGGGTTAGGGGTTAAGGTTAGGGTTAAGTTAAAGGTTAAGGGAAGTGTTAGCTAACATGCCAAGTAGTTGCAAAGTACCTAAAAAGTAATAAGTGATTGCAAAGTTGCTAATTAGCTGAAATGCTAAAGTTGTCTGTGATGAGATTAGAACACTCAACATTTGTGTTGCTAGGCGTTCACGTTGTACGCCCACCCACCCTCCTTTTGGGTTGTTAGAGTTTTGCGTTATATGCCCATCCATCCACCACCGACCAACCACCCTCCTTTCATTTTTGCCTTAAGTAACATTCTGTCTTATATAACCATACCAAACGTAAAATATCATATTAATTTGAGTGTCCCGGATTTTTGTTTACTATGTCACGTCTAGTCCAGGGTTTCCTAAACTCGGTCCTGGGCCGCGCCAGCTTGTAGTCCTAAAACCCGGAAATGAGCTACTTCTGGTTCGTTCAGCCATCCTTATAGGAAAATTGAATGGCGAAGGAATACGGTTTTGGAATAAATGCAGAAAATAAGGTCTGAGGTTAACACAGGCTTAGGAGATCCTACACGTTTTGTTCTATGAGATTATAGTAGTCAGTTAACATGACCTTTATGAATTATTATGAAGCCTTTATGTGCTTTATCTTTTTTCTTTAATTACATACATCAAAATTCACAAAAAAGTGACATTAGCTGATTCAAATTCTCATAGAACAAAACATATAAGCTCTCCTAAGCCTGTTTTTACCACAGACCTTATTTTCAGTGTTTATCCAAAACACCATTCATTTTCTCCGTAGGCTTTGTCCAACTAACCATGGCAGAGTTAGTGCCTACAAAAAGACGCCATTACTATTTCTCTCTATAGTTACTCTGAGCATGTTATGTATTAACTGCCTTGGACAGTTGTTTATTAGAGTAAATTCACTCTATCAATACATTGACTATTTCAGTATGATAGGGCAAAATTGTTTTGTTACTGTCTAATGCTATGTAAATGCTTGAGTTGAATAGTACTATATGTACTATTCACTGGAGTTTTTCCTTCAATTGTCCAGTAACCTCTTCATACACTGCAAAGGTGTGATTTGTTATTGGCTCCTTATCTTTGGTGCACTAAAGGCCCAACCAGGCTGAATTCCAGTCTGTTTAGGCTCTAAAGATCTTATCACTCATAGGCTGTGAGAACTGGTTAGAAGCTGCTTTTGTTTGTATAATGCTTTAAGGGAGTAAAGCTAAGTACCCCTTATCTCTAATGTAAACTTGCCTCCCTCTTGGAGGGGTAAGCAATTTTTTGTGTAGGTGAAGTATATAAATTACTGTGTAATTTGTAAATGTTTAAGTTACTCTCTGGTTTCATCTGGAGGGTAAGCTTCCCTGCAATTGCTTGAATAAACTCTTATTGCTGATAAATGAGTTCTGCCTGATTCCTGGACGGAGTTTTTCTCAACAAGTATATTGACTATTTCAGTTTATTTCGGTACATTAACTATTTCAGTGTATTGACTATATCAGGATATTTAGTATTTCAGTATCTGAGTATGTTGTACGAATGACTAAATCTCTTCTTGTTTTCTTTCAGGTGTAGTAGGTGATTGGACCAACCATTTCTCCCCTGCCCAGAAACAACTGTTTGATGACGACTACAAAAGACAAATGAAGGATGCAGACATCCCTTTCCGGACTGACATCTAGCAGGATTTTCCTCTCTCTATTTCCAACACAATGCAACTGGGCAGACTTTCACCATATGAGGTCAGAATCACTAACAGTTGAAAATATTCCAATGTTGTGGGATTTGTGAGAAGCCAAAGGAAAGTATCAAACACCCATGATTGCTTAGATGTACACCATTTATTTTAATGTTTGTCTGCTTATGCAGATGTCCTGTTGAGAGTGAATAATTGATTTTTGTCTTGAAAATCAGCCCTTTGTTAAAAATAGTCAATAAAATGTGCTTCACAATGCATCATTTGTAGTGATCACTTTGTTTATTAACGGTAAAGATACCTTATTGTTGTGGGTGAACTTGTCCTTTGTTTGATGTCATGGACAACCCTCAGTACTTCTCTCCTACATTGGACTGATGTAAAGCACAGAGGGGCAAAGACCTGGATAAAGTAATGAGTAGTAGAGGAATGTAACACAAGTTGGATTGTGGTGGAGAAACGGAACAAAAACAACAACAGTCAAGAGTATCCAAGTTTAACAAAAAATTGATTTTTAATACATACTTTATTTCTATGAATACAATCTTAAATATTTTAATACTGTTTTGGTGGGGTAGAACCCCAATCCAATTTAATCTCTTTCCATATACAGAGGTTGTTTTATGTGGATGTTTTTAATTGGGGGGTTTTCTCGTTGATTTCCCTGTTTTGTCCCCTCTCTTCTATTGGTTGGCTCACAAGAGCCCCTCTTTCATCGGTTGTGATCGTCCTCTTTTTCAATTTTCTCCTCCTCGTCCTCCCTCTCTCCACCTCTCTAATTCCTCTTCTTCTAGATTTCTATTTTTCTAGAGTGAAAGAAGAAAAGCAGGAAATCAGAGGGAAAGAGTTTAATGCAATGTTAGTTTTAAATGAAAGCTGATGACAGCAGCAGATATATGTAATATGTCATGGAAATATAATTACACTGTTATTTCAACCATAGTGGTATTATGACAATAGCTAATAACTAGCCTTTCTTGTTAATTTCTTTCTATAAAGATTTCTATGTTTCTATGTAATACTTAAGTATTAGTATAGGATCTGAACGTACACTATGTAAATATGGCAATATGGTTATTTACTGCAGAGGTACAGTATATTGAGCAAAAATATATCACACTTTTATGGAATAATAGCTCATATTTCAAATGTTCATGGCAACATGGTTACTGCTTCAAACATCTACCCCTTCAAACCCCCCCCCCCCCCCCGCCAATGCCCCTTCAAACCCCCCCCCCCCCCCCCCCGCCAATGCCAAAGCATCTAGACAACTCACGACATCAACAACAAGACATGATTCATGATAGCCTGGTCTCAGATCTGTTTGTGCTGTATAACCAACTTCTATGTAACAACCATAGGAGTTGGCTACACAGCACAAACAGATATGGGACAAATCCCCAAAGCCTACTGATACTGACACATCACTGATACGAACTATACGTATAACAGTGGAAAACAACATCCATAAACCAGACCAGCAGAATACAGGGCAGTACAGATACAATACAGAAGTCGCATGTCCACACACGTTTGAGCATATAGGCTAGAGATCACCGGAATGACTGAAAACGACAAGAACGCAACTTGGGCAAGTTGTAAAACACAGATTCGCTTTGCACATGTACACACACTCTCCTGACATAAACACAATGACATACACACAAAGAGAGAACCGCTAGCGATGCAGATGGTGGGATACCTTGCTGTAGTTACAGGCTAATGGTGGGTGATAGGCAGGATTAGTCTGTAAAAAGATGATTCAAAGTGTTAATGAGGAATGAAAGGATGGAGTTATATGATTAAATAAAAGAGAGGGCGAGGTGAGAGTGAGTATAAAGATAGGAAGAAGGAATACAGGGAGTTAGAGAAAGAAAAATGAGTTTAGAGAAAAATAATGAATACAGGGAGTTAGAGAAAGAGAGAGCAGAGTATAGAGATAAAGAAGAAATAAAGGCATTGAGAGCAGATGGTAAAATTATAGAAACAATTGAATTAAGGATTGAGAGAGACATTAAGAGGTTAAAGAAGACAAGCATGAACATTATGTTACAAATTGTCTTAATCAGATGGAAGGATTATTCAGTTCATACCAAATAAAAGATAACAAGGGTGAAGGTAAAAAGGAATTAATTTGCTTGCAAATACAAGGATAGAATACCATCACTTGGTTACCATGGTAAAAGTGTGTGTGTGTGTGTGTGTGTGTGTGTGTGTGTGTGTGTGTGTGATTGTGTGTGTGTGTGTGTTAGAGGCACACTTACTCTCCAGGTAGTTACGGGCGACAAACTTCAACACCTCGTCAATCAGGATGACAGGGAAAGAAAGTTTCAGGACAATCAACCACTGCTCCAGGTTCAAGTGAGTCAACTTGAAGACCATCTGGGTGGGAGAAGAGAACACAGGGTTATTAGGGAAGAACAACTGTCAAACTACTGACAAAAAATACTCAATAGGGTCCTCTGACCAATATAAATGTCAAATTTATTGAGCATATGATGGGACCATTTCCACAGTGACAGAGGACTGTGATGAGACCATTTCCATGGTGACAGTACTTACGGGCAGGGGGTCGACGTAGATGATCATGAAGTGGAGGGACATGGAGAGAGCCATGGCTCCAACCAGCCACAAGTTGCTCCATGGGGGCATGCGCACCAGAGACTGGTTCTCAGACAAGCTGCAAGAGAGGGGGGTTAAAGGATACAATTTAACATCACATGATTAGTGTGTGTGTGTGTGTGTGCGCGAGTGCATGCCTCTGCATGTGCTTGTGTGTCTGTGCTCTTGCATCTGTATGTGCGTGTATGTGTGTGTGTCTGTGCATGTGCCTGTGTGTGTGTGTGTGTGTGTGTGTGTGTGTGTGTGTGTGTGTGTGTGTGCGCGAGTGCATGCCTCTGCATGTGCTTGTGTGTCTGTGCTCTTGCATCTGTATGTGCGTGTATGTGTGTGTGTCTGTGCATGTGCCTGTGTGTGTGTGTGTGTGTGTGTGTGTGTGTGTGTGTGTGTGTGTGTGTGTGTGTGTGTGTGTGTGTGTGTGTGCATGCTCTGCATCTGACCTGTTGAGGGCGTTGGACATCTCGATGGTGACCAGCACGGACAGGGCCATCGTCATAGGGGGAGCGGCCTCGAACACCTTGCATGTAATGCCGGTGAAGTCTTCGTTCTCGTCGTGGCACTGCATGAAGTGGGACAGCTGGTGGAAGGTGACTCCGGGGCCGGTGGGATCGTACATGAACCACCAGACGGCAGCTGCGACAGTGGCAGCACCGACATATCCTGGAGCGGACCAAAGAGACTCACCGTCAGACACAGACTCAGGTGGTGAACACCTTGGTGGTGTTCAACCAGCCCTTACAGGACCCTACTAATGCAAAACAGACAGGGGATATGTCCTAAATGGCACCCTATTCCCTTCATAGTGCACTACTTTTGACCAGGGCCCATATTCCCTAGTGCAAACCTTATTGGCCCTGGACAAAAATAGTGCACTATGAAGGGAATAGGTTGCCATTTGGAACATAGACAGATAGTTCCCCTGTCCTATTCTTCCACGCTTACCTCCAATGACCATGTATCTGAAGAACAGCCAGCCGGAGATCAGGGGCTCCTTGGCGGAACGGGGGCGGCGGCCCATGATGTCCAGGTCGGGGGGGTTGAAGCCCAGGGCGGTGGCGGGCAGACCGTCAGTCACCAGGTTGACCCACAGCAGCTGGACGGGGATAAGAGCCTCGGGCAGACCCAAGGCAGCAGTCAGGAAGATACTGAGTGAGAGAATGGAGGAAAAGGTGGATTGATTGATTTAGATTTGTAAAAAATTAGTTACAAGTTAAAAAAGTACAAATCCCAGTGAATAATACATGAAAGCGGACTACAGTTGAAGGGATGGGGAGGACAAGGAGGAGAGAAGTTAGGTCCCTAACTAATGCCTAGGCTTTAGCTTGATGGGCTAACACAGTCTCAGAGAGCCCGGGGTTCGAACCCAGTCAGTCCCGTATGGACAGAACACTCACCAGACGACCTCACCAACGTTGGAGGAGATGAGGTAGCGGATGAACTGCTTCATGTTGTTGTAGATGGCGCGGCCCTCCTCGACGGCGGACACGATGGAAGAGAAGTTGTCGTCAGCCAGGACCATCTCAGAGGCAGACTTGGCAACGGCAGTGCCAGAGCCCATGGCGATGCCGATCTCGGCCTTCTTCAGGGCGGGGGCATCGTTCACACCATCACCAGTCTGGTTTAAGGGAGGGAGGGAGAGAGAGAGGGTCAGTTGAAGTGGTGCATTTAGTGGTGCATTGCTAGAGGAATACTATCACAGTTACGTTACAGGAATTTGGGGTAAACTTTGGATTCATTTGAACTACTATCAAATGTTTGAAGACTTGTGTATTTTATAGTATATTGCATGTGTATCTACACATATGTCGGGGCCTCACCATGGCGGTAATCTCGTCTTGGCCCTGCAGAAACCCAACGATCTTGGATTTGTGGGAGGGCTCCACACGGGCGTAGCAGCTAGCGTTTCTGACAGCATCGCTTTGCATTTCAAATGAGGGCAGGTCGTCGAACTCACGGCCAGTGAAGGCCTTTCCAGTCACATCCTCATCTTCCGTGAAGATGCCAATACGACGGCAGATGGCCACTGCGGTTCCCTTGTTGTCACCTGAGGGAGTCGAAAGGTGACATTATCCAATCAGATGAGGGATAAAGAGAAAGGTGTACTGTACAGTAATAATGACCAGGGGTGGAATCGAAGGGGAACTGCGTTTTCAACGTGAAACTAATTTTGACATTTTAGCTGGTGACTTTACAGTTGTTGTTTTTTACAGTAATTTTACAGTAAACATAATTTTTTCTCCAATTCAACCCCAGGTAATATGTGACTGAGAATGAGCAAAAAAAAACAGGCTAATATAACGTGGAATACAGATGTCTATATAAACAGAGATATAAACACAATAGGCACATAAATGGGACACGTGATAGCACAGACACAACAAACACCATTGTGGATGCAACAACACCTTCAACACAGACGCAACAAACTAGACAATAATAATATTTACTTAAGAACGGACACGACATAAACTAGATCAAAGTCACAGAAGATTATAATATTTACTTAGAAACAGACAACACAAACTAAAGGAAACACAATCACTTTGTAAAGGAAGATGGTCTGTATTGGGTATGGGTGCTAGAGAGGAGGTAGTGGTACACTAACCAGTGATCATGATGACACGGATTCCAGCAGCTTTGCACAACTGAATGGCGGGCGTAACCTCCTTACGCGGGGGATCCAGCATACCAACGCAGCCAACGAAGGTCAGGTCAGTCTGGGGACAAGGGGAGTGAGGGAGAAAGGTGAGGATGAGTCAAAACCAACTTGGATCTATCTGGCTAGACATCCATCCATCCATCCATCCTCCCATCTATCCATCCATCTACAGAGGGAAATATTTATTCCTCACCTCGTAATCAATGAACTTGGTGGCGTCCTCAAGCTTCATCTCCTCGACCTTCAGGGGGGTGTCACGGGTGGCAAGGGCCAGGCAACGCAGGGTATCACGGCCGCAACCCCATTCCTTGATCACAGCCAAGATCTTGTCCTTGACGGCACCAGTCAGGGGAACACGGGTGGTGCCAACACGAACATAGGCACATCTGTCAATCACACCCTCGGGGGCACCCTATTGGGTGAGGAGGAAACGGAGAGAGGTTGGGTTTTCACAAAGGGACCAAATCAAGCTCCTTCCTTTACTGCTTTGAAAATACAGTTGTCGGGTAGAATTGTTGAGTATTTTGCTGTCTAACTAAAACCCTCAAAGATGAGGCTATAATTTAGTGGCTAATAAACTGCTTGCAACGGAACAATAAGGCATAAGCCCATGTTTGACACAAAGGCATTAGAGGAAGAGGACTAGAAGACGAGAGCTAGAAAGTGGAGAGAGAGAGAGGAGCTGACCTTCACAAACATCTTAGCTCCACCATCGCCCTTGACGGGGGTGCAGTACACAGACATGGATTTCCTGTCACGGGAGAACTCCAGGGTGAATTCCTTCTTCATCAGCTGCTTGATCACAGCACAACAGGCATTGGCTCTATCAGGCTTGGAGAGGCCTGTAACTTTGGAGTTGAACACGTTCATCTTTTCAACCAGGCAGCACATGGCAGTCTCGGTGGCCTCACCCACCTTCTCATAGATGTTCTTGGACTGGAGGGAAGGGAGAGAAATAGAGATAAAGTGTGAGAAGAAAAAAGTTAAGAAGAGGCAGAGGGCAGAATCTACAGCAATGGGACATCTTCGTAATCATAAAACATGTTATTTGATGTATGTTAGCCATGACTGCAGAGAAGCACATTTCAATTGCCAAGCGGGAAAGGTCGCTGGTTCGAATACCCGAGCCGACAAGGTGAAAAATCTGCCGATGTGCCCTTGAGCATGGCACTTAAGCCTAATTTGATACAGGGGCGCCGTACTTCTATGGCTGATCCTGTAAAACAACAAATTTCACTGCACCTATGCGCTGTATGTGACAATAAAACATAATAAAAAATAAAAAAGCTTTGTCACAATTACTTTGTCAGAGCATAAATATGTGTTAGCCATGTTGTTTTATCTGTGTTTAGGGGACTACAGAAGAAAATGAGCGACATAGCGAGAACTTGATGTGAAAACTTAAATATTGATGGATAGAATGAATGGTGCACTGTCCCTGCCTACTAAAGGAGATAAATAAATAACAAATAAATCAATGAATTACCTCATTGTAGTCCAGAGAGGAGTCATTGCACAGGGAGCTGATGGTTGCCAGCTCAACAAGGCCATCATAGGATCCGCAGGTGGTCTTAGCACCTCCCTGGGAGCTAAGAGAGGGAGAGATAGAGAGAGGTGGAAGAAGAAGAAAAAGGGAGGGAGATATTGACAGAGGGAAAAAAGGAAGATATAGGGAGAATAGAGAAAAAGGGAATAAAGAGAATAAAGAGAATATGCGTTAACATCATTGTCATATGAGGCTCAGTAGCTTGAATGGTACCTATGTCGTAAAGTTAACGGCGGTTGCCACAGAAACAGACTACTTACACCTCTCCCTCGGGGGTGTACTTGGAGCCGGAGATGTCAAACATGTCCAGGTCGACATGGTCGCCATCAACATTCTTGATGATGAACATCTAGAGAGGAAGAAACAAAGGGAAGTTGTGAAATTACTGTTCAGTTTGTGTATGTGCGTGAGTCTGTCAAGTGTCTGAATATGCCCAAATCAGTCACATGGTGAACAATATGCTACCCTATGTCCCAGTGAAATGTGTGTCTGTGTACAAATGTGTCTGTATTTTTCTACTAAGACAATCTTGGCAAGCCACATTAAATCGGTTCGGAGGCCGTATTTGGCCCGTGGGCTGCCAGTTGCAGACCCGTTAACGGGTACTGTGTTCTGTGCAGCACCCACCTTAGTCACACACATCTGGTTGGTGGTCAGGGTTCCGGTCTTGTCAGAGCAGATGACGGAGGTGCAACCCAGGGTCTCCACAGAGGGCAGAGAGCGGACAATGGCGTTCTTCTTGGCCATACGGCGGGTACCGAGAGCCAGGCAGGTAGTGATGACAGCGGGCAGACCTGGTAGAGAGATGATAGTCAAAAGCGTGAGTAAATCAAAAAGTAGTGATATAGTGAGAATTACATAGTGTGCATTTAGTCACAATGGAATATCACAAACAACAAGCATAGTGTGTTAACTGCACATACCTGAACAACCACGCACACACACACGAGTACGCACACACATACACGCACATACACCCCACAACCTATCTCTCCTCCGAACACACACATTCATGCCCCCTTCCCCTCCCCATAACACCTCTCTTTTCCCTATCCTCCATCCCTCCCTCCCTCCCTCCCGCCATCCCTCACCCTCAGGTATGGCGGCCACAGCCAGGGCAATGGCGATCTTGAAGTAGTAGACGGCACCACGGATCCAGGAACCTCCATGGACGGGGTCGTTGAAGTGGCCGATGTTGATCGCCCACACGGCAACACAGATCAGGGAGATGACCTTGGACAGCTGCTCGCCGAACTCGTCCAGCTTGGCCTGCAGGGGGGTCTTCTCTTGCTCGGTGGCGACCATCTGGTCGCGGATCTTGCCAATCTCAGTGCCGACACCGGTAGCCACAACCACGCCAATGGCCCTGCCAGCAGCGACGTTGGTGCCCTGTGGTTGGTAGAGGTGGTGGAGGATAGACGGTGAGAAAAACGACGAGCAAGAACGTAGAATTGAGTTTTAGGCCTTTTGTTCTTGTAGGAACTATGAGGATTAAGAAAAGTTGACTAGTCATGAATAGAGAATGCTAGAGGGTGTGTTATGAAAGAGAGGTAAGGACTGAGGGACAGAGCGAGGGATGGAGGTGTAGAAAAAGGATGGAGGCAGGGAGGGACAGGTGAATAAAGAAAAGAAGGATGTATTGACACAGTGATGGAGGGGAGAATGGAATACAGAAATAGAGGTATGGAGGGAAGGAGAGATGGAGGGATACTTGCAGAGAAAAGCATGTTCTTCTTGTCCTGGTTGACAGCTCTGGGGTCGGGGACAGGGTCAGTATGCTTAATCACACTGACGGACTCACCTGAGGGGGACACACAGACAATGGTCAATGAGAGGACACATAACAAGAAAACAGTATGCAACGCAACGCCATACAGGTCTAAAAAGCACCCTTTACCACATTTCTTATAGGACTATAATGTAAATAGGTCTTTAGACTTTGTGTTCTTTATCCGTAATGATTTTGAATAGTGTAACTGTGTATTGTTGTTTTCTGCATAGTTAAAACAACATGTTATGTATTATATAGTATGGAGTTGTAGTATGTGAGGATCCTCACCAGTAAGAATGGACTGGTCAATGCGGAGGGTGGTGGAACGGATGGCAACAATCCTGATGTCAGCGGGGACTTTGTCACCGACTGGGGAATGGGGGCGGGGGGAGCGAGAGCGAGAGATAAGTATGCATGCTTAACCTCAACTGACACATTATACACCAACCAATCAGAATAAGCCATAGGAATGCCATGGAAATGACTGACTTGAAGGGCAACAGCCCTTTGATAAATGAACACCAGTGGGTTATGGGAGAGCTGGGAGAGAGAGAGGGCAAGAAGGGGAGAAGAGGTGGGGCAGGTGGTAGGGGGGTATTTATACCCAAGATTTTGTTTTCCTTCCCTCAGCATGTTTTCGCAGCCGTTCACCCCCTCCCTCCTTCCCTCCCTCTCGCTGCCTTATATGGGCAGGAGGCCTCCCCATCTCCCCTCCATCTTGTACTCACATGTCCTGTTCTTGAGAATCCTCTCAAAAATACACTATGTGGGTCCCTACCTTTCTTTCTCAACAGTTTACACAGTAAAGCCACTTTACGCCTAAAGTGTTGTCAGTGTTAAAAAAGGAGGGAAAAAATATGATTGAGTAAGAGATAATAAAACACATGTATTTGTTAGGGGGACACATACAATTAAAACATTGACACATTGAGTCATCAACAGTCAGATGAATTGTCCCATCATGCTTTAGCTTGCGCTAATTTCCAGCATGAGTCTCTAGTCTAGAGTCCCCAGTCCTTAGGTCTTTAAAAGGGTGTACAAGAAATTACTGAATAAAAATATAGGTAATTAAGAGAAAGATGGGTCTCTCACCGGACACCTCCACAATATCACCAGGAACCATCCCATTGGCCTTGATCTTCTGCACGCTCTTCCTGTCAGTACGGAAGACTTTGCCCATCTCAGGCTCGTACTCCTTCAGAGCTTCGATGGCGTCCTCAGCATTACGCTCCTGTGGCAGACAACCAGACACACGTGCAACTACAGTCAATACAAACACCCACTGTCAACTCTAACACAACTACAGTCAATACAAACACCAAGTCACAGGACTGCAGTCAACACTAACGTGACTACAGACAATACAAACACCTAGTCATAACATATAGCTGTAACTCATAACATAACTACAGAAAATACAACTGTTAGAAATGTTAAGGAAATAGACCATGTTACAGTCACAACTAACAGACCCACAGGTGGCTTTCAGATTATTATTATTTATTTTTATATCTGCTTGTTTGTTTTTACTCAAAACATGCCTGACCCAGCTGTCATTCTCACTGGTGTCCAAAAGTAATTATGTTTCAATTGAGCAAACTCCTCTTTCTCAGTAACCCTAACCCACGTGCTCTATGTCATGTCATCAAAGCTGCGGGTATGTGTTGTTGCTCAACGTGTACGTCTGTACGTCAACGCCACTGACCTGCCACACTCCAACAACAGCATTAGCGATAAGGATGAGAAGGATGACGAAGGGCTCAACAAAGGCAGTGACGGTCTCCTCACCTTCCTCAAACCAAGCCAGCACCTGAGCACAAACAGGAGGACAACAGCGGAAAAGGGTTAGCATTTGGTGTCAGCATTTGCATCATAGCTTACAGTCACACTGTCTGCAGGAAAAACGGTGTTTAATCACAGTTAAATCAATACAATTATTATCTGATACAGTGGTTTTGTGTAAAACATGAAAATAAATTCCTACTAACATTTGTGGCATGGCAATAAAGTTGTCTGATTCTGAATCTGCTGCAAAGCAAGGAATTTCTATGGGCTATTTGATAGTCAGTGGTTGTCCGTAGGGTTTTTGTTGATTTATATATGGTTTACACATGTTTATAATGATGTCATGGATTTTAGGAAATGACAATTCTCCTGAGGGAAGCCCTTGGCTTAAAAGCCATAGGGAAGCTGTGAGGATGTTTGAGATTATTGTGAATAAGCAGAGTGTGCAGAGGGCACTGTAGGGCACTATCAGGCATTTAGAAAATGGTTTCATGTGTTTGTTCCATCACTGTTCTATTTAGATCTTAGTCTGTTTACTGTCTGATACTCTTACACAGACTCAATGCTAGTGTCCATGGACACAACAACAGGAGGCAAAACTGTAACAGGTTTAGAAATAGACCTACTTAACATGCATTTTTTTATTCATTTATAAATGCAGTGTGCGAAAATGTTTGAATTGTGTAAATCCTATGTTTTATGCATTTTAAATTTTGCATTTGTGCATTTGCAATTTTGGAATAGTAAACTTATGTAAAAATAAAGAAAATAGTTGCACACTCTATATATGCTCTCAACAATTTAATGGGTAAACACCGAATCAGCAGGTTGTGTTAAAATGTTTTCTTAAATTGTGTTGATGTTGTTCAGCTGTTGTCTAAAGTTAAGCAACCGCTCCAGTTTACAGTTTCCAGAATGCAGTTTAGAGCTGTATTTCAAAATAATGACACAATCCCTATACACTTGATCTCCATGTCCCATAACTCCATGCTCCTACAGTATCCACTTCAACCTTCTCTACCTCTTTCTGTGGAAGCCCATCGTTCCTTCCTTCAGACCTGACCTTTTCCCGAAGGATACAGTTTCTCTTCCCTGGCTTGAGTCTTTCTTAAAATAAACCATTACCCCCTCGACGCCCCCTTACTCCCCGCACCCCCTGTCTCTCACCCGCTCCTCAATATTCGCCTTCTAAGGCCATCCTGACAGCTGCCCAAAGGGGTGGAAAGCTTGTGGTAAGAATTAATACACCTCCAACCACCCCTCTCAAGGTCAAATATGGGGTGCTTATATTTGTCCTGTTCAATGTACCCCAACCCCAAGTTCTCCTGTAAGAGGGAAGGGGACTTGGAGAGCCAAGAGAAGGTACAAGTTGTTTGATAAAGTGACAAGACAGCAATGCCAAAGCAGTGATATGCAGGATCATCCTTCAGGCCAGTGGCTTGGGTTACAGGTGTAGGCCTACAACTTTAAGTGCCACTGTCACAGCTGTTTGATATCAATTAAGGGTCTTAACAAAAAATGTGCAGAGAAGGTATGAGTGGGTATGGGGGTGGTCCCCCCCCCCCCCCTAAAAACATATGAAATAACTATTTTTTTCTCACTCTGGGGTGGGAAGGGAATTAAACATGAAAACTACATTCAAAAAAATCATCTTAAAATCTTGAAATAATTTCACAGGTGTTCTTGGGGAGTGATTTTCACAAAGATTACAAAAGTCTTATTCAGGTGGGATAAATAATTGGGAGAGGCCAAATATCTTACATTTCAATTGACTAATCAATTGAATTGACAATCAATTAAATTATATAATATCTGACCCAATAAGACCTGCACATAAAAAAATATTTACAATATTAGAGTGTGTAGTTGGTGTTTTTCCAGTGACGTATTACTACTACTACGACTACTATTACTATTATCTTGAGCAAAATAACCAGGATGAAATAATACAAGCATAGTCTTTGTTTACTCACAAAAGAGATGCAGGCAGCCAGCAGCAGGATTCTGACCAACAGATCCTCAAACTGCTCCACAATCAGCTCCCAGGTGGTCTTACCTGAGAGAAATAGAGAAAAACATATGAATAAATAATGTTCTGAGAATTTGTGTGTATTTGTTATTTTTGTGTAAGTGTTTGGAGGCAAGATAAGTATTATGCCGAATGCTGTGTAATAGAGATAATTTATGTGATGTTTTGCTTGATTTCAAACCCAAAATAAGTGATTATCATATACAAAGGGGAAATGACCCATGTAATGATTGATTTGGAGTCATACTTCTATAAATGTGGATGTTCTGTTAACAGGATTATACAAGAGTGGGAGGATTATGCAATAATGTGCAAGAAATTCCACACTCAAATGGTTGCTTGGATGTTACAATTAACCCCTGATAAATATTGATTTTACTTTGGATTGAAGCCAGTAGTCATTTTTTAAATGATGTGAATCACGTGTAAAAAGTATCAATAATATTGATAAACGTTGGTACATTTCCACAATGTGCTTCTTATTTGTGAATTCGGATGAGTGACAGTTGATGTGAAAAAAACACTTACCCTCCTCAGCTGGCAGTGCTGGGGTTGTCCAATCACGATGCAGAGAAGGGAAGGTGGGCAGAACCCCATAAAAATATTAACACAATAGAAAAGTGATTATTAATCATGATTGTATGATATGTCAAACTTCGCTTAGTTCATCACCACTTGGACTGGGCAGATATATATATAAAAGGGCTATTTATCTACAGGATGTTCTATTCTCCCTAATCGTGGTTCTAATAATAGTGAAAAGCTGTGTCAAAAATCTGATCTACTGACTAATTAAATGGGAAACCAAAAACATGTTTTAGTCAATTTCTATATCCTTACTTTCAACCATTTTGGATGAACCAATAACAAAAATCTGACCTAGCCAAACTGTGCTTTAAAGTGTCTTAGTGTACAACCGATCCAATAAATAATGTACCAGTGTCATCACTGTTGCTTTGTTTCAACAAGCCTTAAAATCTGGAAGAACACACTAATTCAACATAAAATTTGGATTGCCCATAAACTAGCCATAAACCAGAAATGCATCGAAATGTAGCCCATGGAATTGTGGACAATTATCTGATAACAGCAATTACCATGTTGATTGTAGTCTTTACTGTGAGTGTATTGATACACTTGCTTATTCATCAAAGCACTTTTTTGCTACAAAAGCATGATCATGAACAAACTGTGGCCAGAAATGCAATTGTGACCAGCTTATGCAATGTTAAATTAAAACAAAATGGTGTGGGCATTTCAGCGAGCCAATTGAAGCAGACTTCCATCTAACTTTGCTTGGTCTATCTAGTTCACGCTGCATGTAATTGGTCAATGATCAGCAAATAAGTGATCATATTTCAGATCATTCATCCCTGTTAGCCATCTAAGGACCTCCCCCTCTGCACTGGGACAAAAATTATGCTCGCCCTGTATATTACCCAGGAAGACTCTTGAGCCGTCACCCGTCTCTCTCCCTCTCCACTCCTCTTCAAAGACCCCAAAAGTCTCTGCTTCTCTGTCTCTGCATGTCCATGTCTACCACCTGTGGCAACTAACCTAACCCTTTTCTAAAAAAGAATCCAACACAGAGCCTCACTGCCCGCTGCAAGTGTCCCTAATGAAAAAGTATGTCTTGTTCACAACTTAACAACTTCAAAGTCAGGATAACTTGTGATGTCCTTAAGAGATATGATCATTCCTTCACATATTAAACATCACATCTACTAGTTGTACATGCCTAACACAGTGGTCTCTATTCTCTTTTGCTACAGGGCACACCTCCTGTACTTAGCCTATTCTACCGTCAGTTTCCATTTCTTTTCTATGTTCCCCTTTCTTCATGCACCCCTCCATCCCTCCGTGGGTCTCACCATTGGGGCCATACTTGGCCAGGTTCCTCTTGACTTGGTCTGGGGTGAGACCGGTTTCCAGCTTAACCCCGAAGAAGGCCAGGCATTCTGCCGTCGACTTCGTGTGCGCGTTCTCCATCCTTGCTACTAGCCGTGTCTAGCCGTGCTCTTTTGATTTTCGTTGTGTTGCACCTTTGTTTTAAGTGTGGTGCTAGGACTTGTATTGGTCCCTTGGTTTTTTCGACCCCTCCACAAGCAGGAGTGCTGGACTGACAGAAAGGCGAATAAGCAAACACTGCTGCAGGGTTTTATATCAGCACGGCCACACTATTGGTGGGGACACCACGGGTACACGCCTCTAAATTCCAGCATGAGAAATATGGGATGGTGAGGGTGGGGCTCGAGATGGAGTAATAGGGGAGATGAGCTGGTAGACTTGGACAGGAATTGTGGACAAGGCTTGGCTTGGGGGAGGAGGGGGTAGGAAGGTGGAAGGGGGTGTATGGGGGGATACGGAGTTGAAGGGAGGGGGTGTACCATGGAATAAGAACTGTTTTTGGAACATGCATGGTCAGTGGAATAAGGATAGGGGAGAAGGTGAGAGAGTGAGACAGAAGAACTTGCAGGGGGAGGAGGGGAAACATTGAGTGACGGCTCAACTGGTTTCTGCTGAGGAAGGGGGCCTAGAAAGAGTGCGAGAGAGCGAGACGAATAGAGAGAGGTGGTGGAAGGTTAACTTAGTACAAGCATTAGTGGAGCGCAGTAACATTGAAGCCAAGGCAACCAGAGTGGTACATTGATGCATGGGGTTCACATGGAACCGAACAGCTAGTTCAAACCACAGTTTATGCCACCTCTGTTGGGCAATGGTGGGGGGCATTTATCATAGTAATTATCTCGCTTCACCTCTTTTCCTTTCATTAAACAACTATCAAAAGACTTGTTGGACAGATGAAATAGATCAGGGATACCATTTGAGGCCTGGTGGACCTTGGGAAGCATGGAGTAACACAGTGTGTTAGAATGTGAGAGCAAATGAGAAGAACATAGAGAAAGAACAAAAGAAGGGGAGTGAGAGTGAATAGAAAGGCAGAGAAAAGGAGTGAGGGAATAAAAGAAGAAAGGCATTGGAGTATGAGTTAAAGGAATGACTGGTGGGGCAGCAGGAGAGGACAGCAAGCAAATCTTACTATCGCTCAGTAGAGAGAACCCCGCCGTGGAGAGAACAATTGTATTCCTCTTTTTTTACAAGGAGGGGAAGGAGGGAAAGGCAGTTGGGAGATATGACGCAGATTAAGTACAGTTGAAGTCGGAAGTTTACATACACTTTAACCAAATACATTTAAACTCAGTTTTTCACAATTCCTGACATTTAATCCTAGTAAAAATTCCCTGTCTTAGGTCAGTTAGGATCACCACTTTATTTTAAGAATGCGAAATGTCAGAATAATAGTAGAGAGAATTATTTATTTCAGCTTTTCTTTCATCACATTCCTAGTGGGTCAGAAGTTTACATACACTCAATTAGTATTTGGTAGCATTGCCTTTAAATTGTTTAACTTGGGTCAAACGTTTCGGGTAGCCTTCCACAAGCTTCCCACAATAAGTTGGGTGAATTTTGGCCCATTCCTCCTGACAGAGCTGGTGTAACTGAGTCAGGTTTGTGGGCCTCCTTGCTCGCACACGCTTTTTCAGTTCTGCCTACAAATATTCTATAGGATTGATGTCAGGGTTTTGTGATGGCCACTCCAATACCTTGACTTTGTTGTCCTTAAGCCATTTTGCCACAACTTTGGAAGTATGCTTGGGGTCATTGTCCATTTGGAAGACCAATTTGCAACCAAGCTTTAACTTCCTAGCTGATGTCTTTAGATGTTGCTTCAATATATCCAGATAATTGTCCTTCCTCATGATGCCATCTATTTTGTGAAGAGCACCAGTCCCTCCTGCAGCAAAGCACCCCCACAGCATGATGCTGCCACCCCCGTGCTTCATGGTTGGGATGGTGTTCTTCGGCTTGCAAGCCACGCCCTTTTTCCTCCAAACATAACGATGGTCATTATGGCCAAACAGTTCTATTTTTGTTTCATCAGACCAGAGGACATTTCACCAAAAAGAACAATCTTTGTCCCCATGTGCAGTTGCAAACCGTAGTCTGGCTTTTTTATGGCGGTTTTGGAGCAGTTGCTTCTTCCTTGCTGAGCGGCCATTCAGGTTATGTCGATATAGGATTCGTTTTACTGTAGATATAGATACTTTTGTACCTGTTTCCTCCAGCGTCTTCAGAAGGTACTTTGCTGTTGTTATGGGATTGATTTGCACTTTTCGCACCAAAAGTACGGTCATCTCTAGGAGACAGAACGTGTCTCCTTCCTGAGTGGTATGACGGCTGCGTGGTCCCATTGTGTTTATACTTGCGTACTATTGTTTGTACAGTTGAACGTGGTACCTTCAGGCGTTTGGAAATTGCTTCCAAGGATGAACCAGAATTGTAGAGGTCTACAATCTTTTTTCTGAGGTCTTGGCTGATTTATTTTCATTTTCCCATGATGTCAAGCAAAGAGGCACTGAGTTTGAAGGTAGGCCTTGAAATACATCCACAGGTACACCTCCAATTGACTCAAATGATGTCAATTAGCCTATCAGAAGCTTCTAAAGCCATGACATCATTTTCTGGAATTTTCCAAGCTGTTTAAAGGCACAGTCAACTTAGTGTGTGTAAACTTCTGACCCACTGGAATTGTGATACAGTGAATTATAAGTTAAATAATCTGTCTGTATACAATTGTTGGAAAAACGACTTGTGTCATGCACAAAGTAGATGTCCTAACCGACTTGCCAAAACTATAGTTTGTTAACAAGAAATTTGTGGAGTGGTTGAAAAACAAGTTTTAATGATTCAACCTAAGTGTATGTAAACTTCCGACTTCAACTGTACAGTCGTGGTCAAAAGTTTTGAGAATGACACAAGTATTGGTCCTCACAAAGTTTGCTGCTTCAGTGTTTTTAGATATTTTTGTCAGATGTTACTATGGTATACTGAAGTATAATTACAAGCATTCCATAAGTGTCAAAGGCTTTTATTGACAATTACATTACGTTTATGCAAAGAGTTAATATTTGCAGTGTTGACCCTTGTAATCCGCCCTGGCATGCAGTCAATTAACTTCTGGGCCACACCCTGACTGATGGCAGTCCATTCTTGCATAATCAATGCTTGGAGTTTGTCAGAATTTGTGGGGTTTTGTTTGTCCACCCACCTCTTGTGGATTGAGCACACGTTTTCAATGGGATTAAGGTCTGGGGAGTTTCCTGGCCATGGACCCAAAATGTCAATAATATAATAATGTTTTGTTCCCCGAGCGACTTAGTTATCACTTTTGCCTTATTGCAAGGTGCTCCATCATGCTGGAAAAGGCATTGTTCGTCACCAAACTGTTCTTGGATGGTTGGGAGAAGTTGCTCTCGGAGGATGTGTTGGTACCATTCTTTATTCATGGCTGTGTTCTTAGGCAAAATTGTGAGTGAGCCCACTCCCTTGGCTGAGAAGCAACCCCACACATGAATGGTCTCAGGATGCTTTACTGTTGGCATGACACAGGACTGATGGTAGCGCTCACCTTGTCTTCTCCGGACAAGCTTTTTTCCGGATGCCCCAAACAATCGGAAAGGGGATTCATCAGAGAAAATGACTTTACCCCAGTCCTCAGCAGTCCAATCCCTGTACCACAACTGTAGATGTGTGACAGTTGATCCCGAAATCGACACCCATGCAGTGACTGTATAATGTATTTTTGTGGCAGAACCAGAGCATTGATTCGGTTAATGCCTGCTGACTGACGAGAAACAAATTATAAGACCCTGGTAAAAAATATTTTAAAGAGAAAAGATAGTGGCATAGAATATTAAGCCTTCCAAAAATGGACTTTGAAAGTCAAATACATAAATCTCTACGAATTAGGTCAGTGGTTAACTGGTGCATTAGTTGGACTTTATGGAAGTATCATATGTCGTTGGTCAAAGGGTCATTGATCATTGATCATCTAGATTTATGCACTTTCAATCAGTTCTGTAATGTATCTCACTTCATGTTTGTGATATTCTTGGAGTATGGTTGTTTTTTGCTTCACTTGTAAGAGGATACTGTACCCGTTTTATAGAGTCAAATTAGCCTATACACTTAGTTGTATTTATTAACCCAGTTTGATAAATCCATGCAAGTCCAGATCATTCTCTAAATCTAATACTCAATAAAAACTGTTGTCTTCACCACTGGTTTAATTTACTACTTGTGTAACAGCTCATTTTAAATGGGCACCCCTTGACCTAAAGGCTGTTACGAGGTGTCTTCTAGAGACAGAAACAGAAGTTGTCGTTCATCCGTGATGAATAACCTGACAAGCAGTCCTCTTGGGCACCACCTATAGTCATGGTTCATTGGTCCGGACAGTTCAGGAGGAAACGTTTCCATTTGCTCCCGTTTGCCTTACTTATGGGTCTGTGGTTAAGTCTCGGTCGAATGGTGAATGTAGTACAATGGAGGGACATTGGGAAGGTATTTACACATTTCTTGAACGACCATTCGGTTTTAACAATGAACCTTAAAGAAGGAAAAGCAATGAATGTGGTACAATAAAGGGACATAGGAAATGTATTTACACATTTCTTGAACTCTGATTTGGTTTAAACACACAATTATGGATTTGTGGGTGACCATTTGCTTTAAACAATGCAACCCATCATGACTTGAGTGTTCATTTTACATTTACATATGAGGCATTTAGCAGACGCTCTTATCCAGAGCAACTTACAGGAGCAATTAGGGTTGAGCACCTTGCTCAAGGGCACATCGACAGATACTGAGAAGCATCGTTCGATACTGAGAAGCAATGGGCTCTCCAGGCCTTGAGTTCAGATGCCCAGGCAGCTGTCGCTGACCTTATGACCTAGGCCTCTCCCTGCAGATGGGCAAAGCAGCCCCATAAAATTAATGGTACAGTAGGTGAGTAGTGAAGGGGAAGGGCTACATACATATCCTGAATCCCAAATTAACCCTCAGGCCCTACCCTTTAGGCAATTGTATAGATTTAAAGGGATTCAATAGATGTCTGCAATATGGCAACTACACCTACCCATTAGAGGGCAAGATGGAGCTACCACCATATTGCTTACACCTATCTAATTAAATCACATCTACACAAGTGCCAAGGAGTTGATTTGGGAATAAGTGATAGATGAGCAAATTAAAACTCGATGCACTCTATGTATGCATGCATACAGTAATTGACACACAGTCACACACAAACTATTATAAGGCTTGATGCATTCTGATGCAAATGTTTTCTTGTAAATACCCTTATTTTTTATTT